ACGGTTAGAGTTTATAATATTGGTAGAATGTATTTTGAGAAAATATTTGTATCTTGCCAGTGATCTTATAATTCTAGTGTTGGGAATATATTGCCCTCCCCAAATAAAGTATGTGAACAAGAAGACATGTGCATACAATGCCCGAAGAGGCCACAAGAGAGAATCAGATCTCTTGGAACTGAAGTTATGGATGGTTGTTAGCGGCCATGTGGGTTCTGAGCACTGAACCTGGACCCTCTGCAAGGGCAGCCAGAGCTCTTAACTGCTGAGCCATCTCTCCATCCCCAGTAGTGTAATAGACAAAATCTAGGACTAGGGATTGAGTTCAGAGGCAGAGTGCTTGCCTGGTATGAATGAAGCCCTGAGTTTAAAACCTAGCATAAATAGGGGCTGGAGAGATGGTTAAGAGTACCAGCTGCTCTTGCAGAGGACCTGGGTTCAGTTCTCAGCACCCACATGGCAGCTAACACCATCCTTTACTTCAGTTCCAGGAAGATCCATCTTCTGACCTCCGCAGGCACTGCACAACATGGGTGCACATATATATATGTAGGCGATAAGCTCATACACATACATTTTTTAAAAAACCCTGTATCATGGGGCTGGAGAGATGGCTCAGTGGTTAAGAACACTAGCTGTTCTTGCAGAAGACCCAAGTTCAAATCTCAGAACCCATATGGCAGCTAACAACTTTCTGTAACTCCAGTCCCAGGGGATCTGACAGCCTCTTCTGACCTCCACAGGCATTGCACAACATGGGTGTGCTTACCTACATGCAGGCAATGCATGCATACACATAAAATAAAAAATAAAAAATTTTAAAAGCCCTATGGCATAAATAAATAATAGGCCAGGTGTGGTGATGCAGGTCTGTAATCCCAGCACTGGGGAAGCAGAGACAAGCAAATCTCTGAATTTGAGGGTAGCCTGGTCTATACAATAAGTTCTAGGCCAGCCAGGGTACATAATGAGACCCTGTCAATAAAAGGAGGGGGCACTGGGGAGCTAAGTTAAAGCTTTTGCCATACAATCATGAGGACCAGAGCACTGATCCCCAGCACTTGCACAAATGTTCCATAGGCATGGCAGCCTGCTTGTAATTCCAGTGCTTAAAAGGCAAAGACAGGATCCTGGGAGCAAGCTGGCTAGCCAGACTAGCAGTACTGGTGAGCTCTGGGCTTGATTGAGAGACTTTTGCTTCAAGGAATAAGGTGGAGAGCAATAAAGGAAGACTCCAGACATCATCCTTAGATCTCCACCCACACACATATATATGTGCCTACACAAATGCAAGCATGTATACACATCATACACAGACACACATACAAGAAGAAAGGGCAGAGGGAGGAGAAAGATGGAGGAGGAGGAAGAGGAGGAGGGGGAGAAGGAGGAAGAGGGGGAGGCTACTCCTCATTGGAGTTTCAATCACTGTCTTTTGAGGACCAAACTGAATTCTCCACCCCTCACATACTGTGCATGTATAGCTTGTAGTCCAGTGCATGTCCCCCATGCTCCAGACCTTTAGGAACTGACTCTAGATGCCATTTCTGATCTGAAGCTCAGGCCCCCCAAACCCTATACCCCCATGTTTTTCTTTTCAACCTTGTCCTAGTTCTTCCCTTTCTCGGAGTGGCTACGTACCCTCTGTCCTCCATTGTTCTTTCTCCTGCCTAGTCACACCTGGCCCATATCTACCAACTTTCCAGGCAGCCAGAAAGGTGTGGTCTCAAAGATGTCCCTTCTTGAGTGGACTCCTCTGGCTCATCACAATCTACTTTTGTGGCTGTAATTTCATGCTTTAAGACCACTGACAGGGGGCTAGAGAGATGGCTCAGTAGTTAAGAGACCACTGACAGGGTGTTTGCTAAAGGGGTCCTGGAGTCCTGCCTCCCTCAGAAAGTGTTTGCTAATTTGGCCCAGTATTTATATAATTTTGTCAGATGGGACTTCTGCATCCTCTACAAATATGTGCAAGGTCCCTTGGACAATCCTGCAAAAGCAGGTGTGGGCTTCATGGGGCCAGCCCCAGAAAAGAGCCCCTGCTCTTCCCATGGAGGTCGGTGTGCACATCATGGAAGAGAATGCAGCAAATTACAGAAGTTGAGTGCTGTTCTTGCCTTACCTCTCTTCAGAGGGACCCCGTGCTTTTCACCAAATTTATCTCCCGAGAATACTGGTTTCCTGCTTTCAGCACCCCAATGAGAAAGGAGTTGTGACTGGAAATCAGTGTCATTGACTCTGCATGTGAAAAGAGATTAAAAACAGCGAGCAGGCTGTGTCTTCACCTCTTGAGCCTGTGTGCTCACTCAGTACTCTGATGGACGGTTAGCCATCACGAGAGAGCTGGGAATCGAGCTTGGGTTCTCTGTAAGAGCATCCAGTGCTCTTAACTGCTGAGACCTCTCTCCAGCCTCAATAAATTTTTTATGTGTATGTTGTGTGTCTCAGTGTGGGTTTGTACATGTGAGTATAGTGCCCCCAGAGGCCACAAGAGGCATCAGATCCCCTGGAGCTGGAGTTACAGGTGGTTGTGGGCCACCTGATCTGGATGCTGAAACTGAACTCTGCAAGAGCAGTAGGTGCTCTTAACTGCTGAACCATCTCTCCAGTCCCCTCCACTTAAAGTTTTTTTTTTAATTTTTCACAACTGAAACCCCCAATTCTGTAATGTAATCCAGATTCTGTTTACGAGTTATATAAATATAAAAACTAAATTGCAAAAAAAATTTATTTTTATTATTTTTCTTTTTTTTTTTTTTTTTCTTTTTTTGAAGCAGGGTCTCCCTGTAGCCCCAGCTGTCCTGGAACTCACTATGTAAACCAGGCTAGCCTTGAACTCAGAGATCTGCCTGCCTCTGCCTCCCAAGTACTGGAACTACAGGCGTGCACCACCACGCCTAGTTATATTTTACTCTTTTTTTTTTATGCATGTGAGTGTATTGCCTGCATGTAGGTAAGTGCACCTGTGTCGTGCAATGCCCTGGAGGACAGAAGAGGCCATCGGATCCCCTGGAACTGGTGTTATGGACAGTTGTTAGCTGCCATGTGAGTGCTGGGATTTGAACCAGGGTCTTCTGCAAGAATAACCAGTGTTCTTAACTGCTGAGCCATCTCTCCAGTCCCCCCCCCCTTTTGGGTCTTTTTGAGACAGGGTCTCCCTGTAGCCCCAGCTGTCCTGGAACTCACTATGTAGACCAGGCTGGCCTTGAACTCACAGAGATCCACCTACCTCTGCCTCCCAAGTGTTGGGATTAAAGGCGTGCACCACCACGCCCGGCCCCAGCCCTTATTTTTACTATTTTATGTATTGCTTGCATGCAAGTGCACTCATGTTGTGCAATGCCAGAAGTCAGAAGAGGGTGTTGAATGCCCTGGAGCTGGAGTTATGGACAGTTGTTAGCCACCATGTAGATGCTGGGATTTGAACCTGAGTCCTCTGCAAGAGCAGTAGAGCAGTCAGTACTCTTAACCACTGAGCCATCTCTCTAGCCCCCGACTGTTTTTATTTTGTATGTGCATATACATGGGGACATGCCACAGCACACATGTGGAGGTCAAAGGACAACTTGCAGGAGTCCATTTTCTCTTTCCACTATGTGTCCCCCTGGGATTGAATTCAGCCTTGGCAAGAACCTTTACTTGCTGAGCCATCCTGCTGGCCCTCCACCTTATTTTTGAGACAGGGTCTATCACTGAACCTGAAGCTTCAGGGCTCCTCCTGTTTCTGCCTCCCCAGCCCTAGATTACCAGTGCAGGCCACTACACCTGTTTTTCTACATGGGTGCTGGTAATCCAAACTCAGGCCCTCAAGCTTGGGCAGAAAGCACTCTACTGAATCATCTCTCCAGACCCTGTTGTATATATTCTTGCTGGGAGACTAACAGGCTCCTGTGTTTAGCATGTTTCCCAATATGAAAGGAGTGCCAGTGATTCTGGATATGTAGACCTGTTTGTGAAACAATGGCCTCAGTTAAGAAATGCTTGAAGAACTGCACTTTGCCACTATGTTGATTTAAGAAGAGAATGAAGTTTTTGTCAATCTCTGGCCTTTCAAACAGGAGTGCTCACTACAAATCTCTGCTAAGGAGGGAATTGTGCTGGAACACAAAAGGGCTGAACAAGGCCCATATATTCAAGGAGAGCAGAACAGAGCTGGGGGGGGGAGGGGCCTACTCTACTTGAGACTAGCTATGCAGGGGCTGGAGACAGCACAAGAATGAGGCAGAGGGAGAGGGGGAGAGGGAGAGAGAGAGGGAGGGCAGGAGGGATGTAGGGAGAGAGAGAAAGAGAGAGGGAGGGAGACAGGGAGAGGAGGAAGAGAGGAAGAGAGAAAGGGAGGGAGAGACAGAAACTACGAATAGCTATAACTATGCAGGACAGGAATGTATCAACAGGAAAGAGCTGGATAACTTTGTTTTTCGGTCTTTTTGAGACAAGGTCTCCCTGTAGCCCCAGTTGGCCTAGAACTTACTGTGTAGACCAGGCTGGCCTTGAACTCACAGAGATCCGCCTGCCTCTGCCTCCCAAGTGCTGGGATTAAAGGCGTGCACCACCACATCTGGCAAGGTGGATAACGTTTTTTAATTATTTTATGTATATAAGTGTATTGCCTGTATGTATGTGGACCTGTGTTGTACAATGTCAGGTGTCAGATCTCCTAGAACTGGAGTTACAGACAGTTGTTAGCTGCCATGTGGATGCTAGGAATCAAATCTGGGTCCTTTGTAAGAGCCAGTACTCTTAACTGCTGAGCCATCTCCCCAGCCTGGTGGTAACTTCTATAGCAAAAAAAGGAATGAAACCCAGAGGTACAGTCATCTCCAAGCAGACTCAAGGGGCACTTGGTTGTGGCTTGGCCTTAAAAGGGGAAGCTCAGGAGAGAGACGGAACAGGGCCCATAGGCCTGCAGAGGTCAGTACAAGCTACAGTAGTGTAGTCCTGAGGCACCATCAGGCCCACTCATCCCTGACAGCCCCTGAGGATTACACAGGGAAGCCCAATTCCAGATGCCTGTAATTTATTTCCAAAGGTGAGCTGTAACACATAGGAAAATACAAATGGCTTTTCAGTCTTTTTTTTTTTTTTTCTTCAGAGAAAATAGATTCTGTCATTGGCTTTCTCAGCAACATCAACCTGTTCTATGAAGCTCCAGGATGGATGGCCTTTGTCTCTTAAGATCCTGCTTTCAAGGCAGCAGCCTGGCCAAGGCCTCTGGAGATGAAAGCAGGGGTGTGGGGAAGAGCGATCCCTATGGGGGCTGGGGGTTGCATATGGGCAACTCGGACTGCAAAGCTAAGGCAAAGAACAGAGTTGGTGGGAAGTGACTCCCCTCACTCCAAGGACATGGCTTGCTGAGGCTTAGGACTCAGACCAGGCAGTGGGTGGGGGCAGCTGTGGCCCAGCCTGCAGTAGCAGCAGGACTCTGGGTGTGCACATGGGTATGGGGGGTGGCATGCTGAAGAGGCAGCCTACCAGCAAATAGAGGGTCTTCAGCTTGCACATTTCCTCTGCCCCAGAGTTCCCAGATAATGGTCCCCAATCCTATACTTGGCCCCTTACATTAACTCTACTTCAAGCAGGGGCCCAGCTCAGGTCCCTTCTTAATCCCTTATGCCCTCACAATGTCAGTGCAAAACATTCTTAGGGCAAAGCCCGAGTCCCCTGCACCCTGACCAGGGCTACAGGGAAGGGAGAAAGAAAGGTGTTAGCTGGGGACCTCTCCCAGCTCCGGGAATTCCTTGTACATCTCTTGCACAATCATGCGGTCCATCTGGCACTGAAGTGAGGCCTCTTCCTCGGTTAGGATGCGCCGCAGTGTAGCCTGCAGGTCTGACAGCCGATGGCGGTGCTGCAGGTAGGGTGTGGAGCGGACCACAGCATGCATCAGGGAGAGGTACTCCATGCGTAGCTGTGGGAAAAGTAGGTTGGCTCAGTGATCTCCAGAGAAGTATTGCAACTGCTCCCAGAGAGGCACTGGTCACTGCTGCCCATGGGCCCTAGACTATGAACTTGCCTTAACTGGTTCACACTTCTTGAACATCAGAGCTGCAGCTTCAGACTTAGAGTATACCTAACACAGCATTGGCCCTCAACAGCTGTTGAATAAGTGAATGAGTCATCCCAGGCACAGAGTCCCAGAATGTGGCTGCCCAGGAAAGCACTGCCAGGGTCCTTGGGGCTGGATCCCCTGGGTACTATGACTGTCAGTGATAAGCTCTCTGCTCCCACAGACTCTTGCCCTGGAAAGATTTTAATCACAGCCACAGCTTGAAGCAGTGATCAACTCTCATACCTCCTATGCAGATCTGTCCTGTGAGCTCCAGACAAGAATATCCAATTGCCTGCTAGTCCTCCATACTTCTCAGACCTCAAATCCACACAGCTATCACCAAACTCATGACCGTCCCATCCTCTCCATGTTGAAAGCTTTTTCAGGTTTTGTTTTTGTTTTTATTTATTTTTATTTTTTATTTATTTTTTGGTCTTTTGGAGACAGGGTCTCCCTGTAGCCCCAGCTGTCCTGGAACTCACTATGTAGACCAGGCTGGCCTTGAACTCACTGAGATCCGCCTGCCTCTGCCTCCCAAGTGCTGGGATTAAAGGCGTGTGCCACCATGCCCAGCTTGTTTTTGTTTTTAATTTTAGGAAAGAACACTGCTTTGATCTAAAAGCTCGGGCCTGAAATGCACATGTCCTTTGATTCCTATACATCCTATAACCAGCTGTCTCCAAGTCTTAGCCATCCTACCTCCACAACTGTTCTGATTCCCTCCCCGGCCCCAACCTTAAGTACTTTCTTTCTTTTTTTTTTTTCAAATATTTTATTTATTATTTTTATGTGTATACGTGTATTGCCTGCATGTAGGTAAGTACACCCGTGTCGTGTCATGCAATGCCCGCAGAAGACAGAAGAGGCTGTTGGATCCCCTGGAACTGGAGTTACGGACAGTTAGCTGGCACGTGGGTGCTGGGATTCGAACCTGGGTCTTCTGCAAGAACAACCAGTATTCTTAACTGCTGAGACATCGCTCCAGCCCCTCAACCTTAAGCACTTTCAAACTCCCCAGACCCAACCCAAACTCCCAGCCTTAAGCACTTTCAACAGTCCCCTGACTTGATATCCAAACTCTTCTCTTGTCCTGAGACCCCCGACCCCAATCCACTGCCTGACGCTAGCACTTTTTCTGTTTGCTCCCCTTGATGCCCCTCCTTTCTTTTTACTTTTGATAAGAGGAATAGATACCTAAACCTCCTGTAGGGAGTACCCTCTTGCTAACTCCCAGTATCAGGAGCCAGACCCAGGCGACAAGTACTGAGCCATGTGCAGGCCTGAATCTCACCACCACAAATCTTATATGGATTCTCAGTACTGGGGACCCCCATTGGTTTTCTCTGCTGTGTCTGTTCTCTTTACACTACCACTGTCCATTTTTTCTCTTTCAAACCTAAGCTGCCTAACCTCAGGTGGCCTGGTACTTTTTGAGGAAAACCCCAGGAGTCTCGCAGAACCCCCTGTATTCTGCTCTCAGCATCTACGTCGCCTGTCCTCAGAGGAAGCAACAGTAGACCCAACCACTGTCTGTCTGCCTCACCTGCCTCACCTCTTGCAGTAACCCATTTCCCCAACACATGGCTTATTTTTCTAGGCTTACTGGAGCATTCCCCCTGGCTCAGACACAAGCCAGCACTCCCACCTTTGAAACACCCTCCCTGATCCCACACTAATTCCTTCCAGCACCTGCCCCCATTCTTCTGCTCCCCTGCACAGAAAATCTGTTATTTTCATTGACTGCTTCCAAGTCCCATCTCATTTCCACTCCCCCAGTAACTTAAAATGTTCTCAAACTTTCCATTCAAACTCACTTCCCTGCACTCCACTGACATGCTGGCCAGTCACCATAGACTTCCATATGGCAAATGCAATGGCTAATCCTCAGTCCCCATCTTAGGCTCGTGGCAGCATGGAGAAGGCTCATCTCCCTCCTCCAAACACTGGGAGTGCTTGCTTCCCGGTTTTGCTCCAGGTTTCTCCTTACTTGACCCTGATATGTCCCAGCTATTACCCAAACTTCCTGCTGATCCTGCCCTTCAATCTGTTAGATGACCACACTGTCACCAACTTCTCAGCACACCTCTGCACAGACAACTCCAACATCTTTCTTTCGGTAGAGTCTCAACTTGCTGCTCACTGCCGCCCTGCTGTCTTTGGCACCTGAATGTCTTGCAGGTATCCCTCACTTTTTTTTTTTTTTCAGTGCTGGGGATTGAACCCAGGGCCTCACACATACAAGGCAAGCACTTTACCAACCAGGCTATTTCCCTAGTCCCTCTCAATCTTAACCCATTCAAAATACAACTCTATTTTTCCCTAAGATATTCCCACAGGTCTCCCCATCTGTCAACAACACTTCATCCACAGTTGCCCCAAAACAATCCCGCAGCAAGCTCTGCTGGATCCACTCCCAACACACCCTTTTTACTACCAAAACAGCCCCTCCCCACCCACTCACATCACTCTGCCTTCATACAGGAAGACAGTGTTTCATTTACTTCCTCTTCTGAGAAACAATCTCAAGCTGCAGCCTAGAAGGCTCTGCCTAGCTCTATTCCTCTTTCCTCGTTTTCATCCCTCCTTCCACCCCAGCTTTCTTCAGACATCCCGCTCCAGACTGCTACACAGCCAGCTGCTTTGGATACACACCTGAGTAGCTTTCCACACTTACCTGGCTTTGGCAGCAGCCCTGCCCCCTCAATCTCCACTCACTGCCATGTTCCCCCCATTTTGGTTGTTCCTATTCATTCCCACTGTAGCAACCTCCAGCACCTTGTCTCCAGGTGACAGATCTGCAATCTGCCGCACAGTGATGTCAATGAGTGCCATCATGTCTGTGTGGTAGAAGATGGCAGCTGTGGCTGGGCTGCTGAACACATCCTGCAGGAACTTGAGGACAGAGTGTGGAGGCTGTGGCTCATGTTTGAAGATACGAACAGGGTCATCTAGAAGGCAAAGGTTCACAAGGGTCAAGGAGGTCCTTGTTGGGGTCCCAGAGTCATCCCAAGGAGTTAGAGGAATCAAAGCAGGGAGGTTATGGAATCATCCGGCATCACAACAGTACCCACACAGATTTCTGGGCCCTCACCCCCTCTGTTCAGAAGCAACAGAAGCTTCTCAGAGAAGATCTTGACATTGGTGTGTTTGCTCAGGGCGGCCATGATGACATTCTGGTCAGGCGCTGAGGAAAGATGTGGGCAGAGACAAGTCAAGAGCATAGGTGTAGAGCTGGCAGAGCCCCGCTCTGGTCTGCCACCTCCCAGTTGAGCCCCACCCCACCTGTCAGGTGCAGGTTGAGAGCAAGAAGCACATTCACGCAGAGGTCCGGCAGTTGCTCTGTGGTGTCCAAGGGAAGCCCGTCCTCAACGATGCTTAGCAGGAACTGGGCAAAGGGTGTACCCAGATGCTCTGAAAGAAGGGCATAAAGGAGTCAGCAGACTTGTCTCTTCTTCCCCTTGGCTTTCTGTGAACCTTGGGGTCATCTTCTTCTTGCCAGACCATGGGTTCTACCTCTGAGACCTGTGGTCAGCTGGTCAGTAATCTGCATTCTTACCATAGTGTGCGTAGGGCACCACCTCTCCCATGGAGAAGACCATGGCCAGGATGAGAGCAGAGTAACAAAGCTTCTGGTGGTCTAGGGGGGCAAGGCAGGCAGTCAGCACTCCCCAAAATGTCAGGAATCTCCAGCAGATGGTGAGAACCCTCTCCTAGTGGCAGGGAACTCCTACCCCCAACTCACCCTGTGTGTCAGTCTGCATGTCCCGTGCCAACTCCACAGGCAGCACAGATGACACAAGTGTGGAGATGATGGCTGCGTCTAGGCTGCACATGGCACCGAAGCCCTTGAGGAGCAGCAGCCGCAGCGATGCTCGGTGTTCCTGGAAGGGGAACCTGCATTCTCAGTGCCCGACCTCTACCCATGTTCCTCTGCGCCCCCTCCCGTGTCTTGCACATACCATTTGGTAATAGGCCACCAAAGCCAGGACAGACTTGAACTCATTCTTCTTGCACATTTTTTTGCAAACTTCAGGGTCTGCATCAGTCTGTAAGGAGGAGGAAGAGTGAGAGTTACCCAGTGGCCACATGAGAGAGAGCTGAGCATGTGTGGGCAGAGTGGGGGTTATTGCTCCAATGCTGGAAGACCCATGGAGACCCCTACCCCATACCAGAATATGCAGCAGCTCCTCCAGATAGCAGCGGATGACAGCCTCGTCCTCATACAGGGCCCAGCTGCGCTGCTGGGCATCATCCTTCCTTCGAGCCAGGTCTGCAAAGATCACCTCAAGTCTCTGCTGGTCATGGCAAACCTGCCCTGAGGGCAGGGCTGTGCTCAGGTCCTGTGGGTAGAAAGCAAAGCATGGCTCAGTAAGCTCCCTACATATCAGCAACTCCAGGAAGTCCCCAAGGCCTGTGTCACTTGGCCCACATCCTCAGAGCTAAAAGTCTTAAACAGACCACATTTGAGGTCAACTCAAATCTAGACCTTCTACACAGGATTCTGCTCAAGACATGTCTATGGGGGTTTCCAACAACTTGCCTCTCAACCTAGTCCTGGATGAGCACCTCCATAGGAGAGCGTGGACTGTCACTACCAAAACATGACTCAGCGTGCTTATCCCCACCATTCCATACAATGTGGCACACCAAGTCTGTCATTACCTGTCATACCTCTCCCATTCTCTCAAACTCTGTTTGACCAGGCACTGGTTGCTGTGCCCGGCATAGGCATACACACCACTGGCTTACTGCCATCTACCCACTCCAACCAGAACCACAGGAAGAGCCCTAAGGCTGAGACCTTTGGCCCACCCAGTCCCCAACCTACAGTCTGGACTCACTGCCCCATTCCTGTTCCGGACCAGTGTCCTAACCTTAGCAAGAGACCACAGCCATCTTGCAATACCCACACCTCACTCCCTCTCATTCAAGTTGGTACCTAAGCCCCCATCCTAGCTCCTCAACCACTCTTCCCTCCACTGCAAGGCTGGCAAGGTACTGTTCTCACCTGTGTCCTGTTCCTGTATCTATTTCTTCCCTGTACCTAGAACCCCAAAGATGGCAGGACCACTTTGCAGATAGTGGGGAAACCCCTTCAAGCGGCAGAAAGCTCCCCTTAATCCCACCTCATCCTGGTCTCTTATCACTTGCCTCAGGTTGCAGCATCCTCCCACAGCACCTGTTCCCTCCCCACCTGCTCCCTCACTGTGTCCCAGCCATGATAGCCTTCTTCCAGTTCCTCTTTCCTGCGAGCCATGCTCGTCTTGCCTCTTGACACTGAGCCTCTGCCTGGAATGCTCTTCCTTCTTTTTTTCTTCATGGGTCATCTTACATGACCTCAACACCCAGCACAACAAAAGTCCACAGCCAAAGTTCAACGAATACCTGTCACATACAGCCTGAACAAACACGTGAGGGTGGGAGTGGGACAGGGCAGGGCTAGCAGGCTGGCTGAGGGTGGGAAGGCTCCTTGGCCATGCTGCCCGCCCTCACCTTGCCCTCTACCAGCGAGAGGAGGACCTGCTCCATCACAGGTGAGCTGGCTGGTACAGAGGCCTGGATGTGACCCACAATGATGCCGATGGCCACACGACATAATTCATGGCTTAGGCCGGTGTTTCTCCGCACAAGCTCCATCAGCTCTGCCCCAATGGTCCTTGGCACAACTGTCTCAGCAGCTGCTTTCCCCTCTGTGGTCTCCAGGCTCAGAGCATCCAGAGTAAGGTCCTCAGGGGTTGAGTTTGTATCAGGTACCACCTCCTCTGCAGGGGGCTCTGGGGATGGAGCCTTGGAGGCAGAGGGTTGGGCTTGGGACACAGTAGTGTGAGCACCCCGGCGAGGCACAGGTGGGGGTGTGGGTGAGCAGCTGGGGCCCAGCTCAGAGGGGCTGGAGCCAGTATAGAGTGTGTCCATGGAGGTACTGCTGACTGAGGAGCCACTGGACACAGAACTACCCCCAGAGGGCATTGTGGTGCAGCCACCTGTGAGTAGAGAGTAGATGCTGTGCTGTGGCACATCCCTGAGGGTCCCCATGTCTTCTGGCCTAGAGCCCCTAGTATAGGACCCAATTCTTCTGCTAGGCCCTGTCTCCTAACCAAGGCTGGTGCCCCCAACTGACCAAACAGTATTCTCCCTAGACCTAGAGCACCCATTTGCCTAACACAGGCAGAGCAATTATTCTAAGCACAGGGTGTACCCACCCCAATTCTCCCAACCTGGCCTTCTTACCACTCCCTGAGATCACCAGGGCCTCACGATCTCGGTGTTTCACTGGTGGGGGTGGAGTGGCAGGTGCTGCTCGGCGGGGCTGCGGTGGGATCTGAGAGGACAGAGGTGGGATCTTGGGGGACAGGTTGCTACCTGCTTTGGTGACCCAAGAGGACCCCTTGAGTCTTAGTCCCACATACCTCCTTCTATAAGATGCCCTCATTCCTACCTGGTAGAGGCTTCCATCTCCCCCCAGATGCTCAGAACTAGGAAGGCTATGCTGCCGTTCAAAGCCAGTTCGACACACTCCATTGGGCTGTCTACAGGCAGCAGCATCCAAATGGTGGTCACTGGTGGATGGGGTTATAACTGCAACACTGGAGGCTGAGGGGCCTCTGCGAGACAGGGTCTCTTTCCGGTGATGAATCAGTTTCCTGATAGAGAGACAGGCAGATCATGGGAAGAGGGTCCTCTCTACTCCCAAAGTCCTCTCTTGGTTCCCATGGGTTGCTAGGACCTCACATCACAGGTCCATCATATCTCCATCTTCCACATGCTCCATTCCACTCTGAGGTATCTCATCCTACCCCTACATATCTGTTCCTATTGTAAGGAGAAGGGTCAGCCTCACCTCCCTGATACTCACTGGAGGACTCCACGCTGTTCCAGGCTGTATTTACCACCATCCCGCATGGCTGTGTTGTGCACAGCCTCAATGGCCCGGTCAATGGCTTGAAGGACATCCTGCTCCACACCCTAAGGGAGGGTGAGCAATTAAGACCTGGGATTAAGAGTGATCAGCCCAGACCCAGCATGGGCTGAAACCAGGTGAGGAAACCAGCTGAAGCCTAGAATTCTGGACAAGCAGACAGCCAAACTGATTATGGTACAAAGTTCTCAAAGTATGTCAGTCAGGAAACAGGGACACAACATAGATTTCATATTTATATTTAGGGACTCCTTCAGGATGTTATCCCACAGAGACTCTTGGCCAAAATGTCTCTGAATATTAGGGGTCTAGAGCAAAACCATGGGGATCCTAGCTTGGGACCAGGTATGTACATCTAGTCTATCTTTGGGCTTGGCTTAGAGCCCAGGATGAGATCCCAAGTGGGAAGGCTCCAGTGTCTAGAATTCTTCATCAGGCACTCTGGATGTTGCCAATCTTTCACAAAACCAAGGTCACACCTCAGAACAGTCTTGTCACCATAGGGCCCTTTACAGGCACTGGGAGATAAGAATGGGCCAAAAGGACTTCCCCTTTCAATCCCTGTTGCTGTCCTCATCCTCCCAAGCTGTCTCACTACCTTTTCAGTTTCTGGGAAGCAGCTGTATATGTGGTAAAGGAAGGGCAGGCCGGTTTCCAGCTCCTGGTCCTTGGTCTATGTTGTCATTCCCAGCAACCCAGGGATCTACTCTATACCCTACTCCACCACACCCTACCCCATCTAGTAAGATGTGGGTTACAGCTGTGGAACTGGACACCATACATGGCTCACTAGGCTACATAGGAGCCCCAGTGCAGAGATGAACTCACTCTTGGGTGGCATTTTCTTGTTTTGGTTGGTTAGTTGGCTGGTTGAGATTGGGGCGGGGGGGTCTCACTGCAGCCCAACCTGTTCTGGAACTCACTATGTACCCCAGGTTGGCCTGGAACTCATTGCAATTCTCTTTTCCCAGTCTCTTGAATGGTGGGATTATAGGCATTAGCCATCATGCCTGGCTCTAGAGTGAGTCTGAGAAGTTTCCCTGATGGAGACAAATGGGTGCAGGGGTCAGCAAAGCCCTTCAGGTATCATGAGGCATGCCAGGAGGGCAGGGAGACAAGAGACAGACATGAGGGCAACAAGAGAAAAGCCTGTGTACACAGAGAATAAGTCAGATGTGTAGAGAGAAGGCCCCAGAGGCCGGCAAGGAGAGACAAAGCAGAAGACTGAGCAACAGAGTCTGAGGAAGTCGGGCAAACACCCAGGTGGAGTAAAAATGAGACCAAGATGTGCAGTCAGGGAAACTGAGACCAGGAGTATGCAGAAAGAAAGAGTAACAGAGAAGACGGGAGCCTCTCTTCCCTCCCCAAATTCCTGGCTGGTCCTAGAATGGAGTATAGCCTCCTCCACAGGCCCTGAGGAAGAGGCAGGACTTCCCCTAGAGGCCTCCAACAAGACCCCAGGGTTAAAGAGGCTAGGTGCAACACATTCCGGATCCAACTGACCTGGGTGTCTCTAGCCTAAGCACCTCTAGATAGGATCTGGCTGAGAGGGTCTGTGATGAAGCTGCTAGGTCCAAGGGCCCCTGTGCTCTGGTAAGAGCGGATGGCGTTTCCAAATTTATCACATTATTTCTGTCTTTAACTGGGCTGGAACAGGATGTTTCCTAAAGGTTAGGGAGAGGACAGGGCAAGAGTGTCTGGCACAGGCCAGGCAGCTCTGGGCTTTCCTTCCTCCTATAAGAATAGATTAACTGGAGACACTGCACCCCAACCCCTGCAGGACTACTCGAGGAAAGAGGAACTGGGACCGCGGCCTCCACTGGAAAGAAACCTGGCCAGCTTCAGAACAGAGGAAGTCACAGAGGGGGGCTCACTGCCTCACAATGGGGACAACCCCCATTCTAGGCCGGGGACAATGAGGGATAGAGCTCCCCAGATTTCAGAGGAAGGAAATCTGAGGAGGAGGACTTGAGGCTTGGGGGAAGTGGGGAAAAGGGGAAGGCAGTATCAGGGAGGGTCAGCAGGGGCCAGAGTCTTGGGTTTCAAGAGAGCTGGGGGAATAGTTTCTGGGAACAGCTTTACAGGTGGGAGAATACAGGATAGTGGGGTACTGATAACACAGGGCTTGGAGGTCACCTAGGGGATGGGAGTGTCTATGGCTCTGAGGACCAAGTGTGTGTGTGGGGGGGGTGAGAACCTGGAGGATGGTTGGGGAAACAGGTGGTGCATAAGGTTGGCACAATCTCAACCGAGGACGTGGGAGTCTTCATGGTAAAGGTGGTGGCTCCAAATGCTGGGGAGTAGGGTGGGAAGGAGAGGCAAGACTGTGGATTCCCAGGGACTCAGGGAAAGGGAATAATAAGGGTTTGGGGTCTCAGGGACTCGGCTAAACGACTAGAGTCTGGGTCTAGCTCTAGAATTCTATTCAGATGGAGGTTCTGATTTCTGGGATGCTGGAGGCGCAGGGGAGGGGACTGGCGTCTGAGTATCAGTCCCAAAGTGCAGCTTTTCGTAGGTCTGAGGCTGAATGTCAAGGGCCTAGTCTTTCGGGGGAGGGGGGAATTATTGACCCCTAAGGTCTCAATCCTTACAGGTCTTAGGACTTAGGGCCAGGGTCTCAAACTCCTTGCCTGTTAGAAGCCCCGGCCTCTAGTCGCGAAGAAATCTGGCCGTTTCCTGGATCGGCTCTGTGGGCTTGTGAAGGGGTTCGGTCGCGGGGGCCTGGGTGGCCGTGCCGGGAAGGGACACTCACCTGCAGGCGATGCAGGTAGGCAGGCGGCACGTAGCCGGTCTCGCCACTGCGCGCCCGCGCCGCTAACCACCAGTGCGCGCTACTGCGCTCCAGCACCAAGAAGGTCTCACCCGCAGCGAACGCCATGGCGTTGGGCTCCGCGGAGCGGAACGCATACAGCGCGCGGTACATGGGGCCGGGGCCGGGGCCGGGGCCGGGCCGGGCCGCGTCGGGGAAGGGTAGTCGGCGGAGGCTGTGGTGCCTGGACACCAGGCCCAGAGCACAGCACAGCGTTCACCCCACCCCGTGATATGCCACGCATGCGCGCGCGCGCGCGCCCGCTTGCCTGCCGGAGCCCAGCCCCGAGGAGCTGGTAGGCTCCAGCATCGGGGCGCTGCGCCCCCTGGCGGCCCCGCGAGGCTCGGCCGTTGGGTGGAACTGGTCTCTAAGAGCAGCCGGGTGACCTGAGTCCTAGCGCTCAAAGCCCCGGCCTCAGTTTCCCTCACCAGGCCTCCCTCTTCCGTTTTCCGCTCAAGTCCGAGAGCGGTCTCTCCCACGGTCGTCGGAAGAAAGCTCGCAGCCGGTGCATCCCTGCAGCCCCGGGGAAGCGGGGCTGAACCTCATGGGAAAAACCGGACATGGAGAGTGCTTTCCTGGTGGAATCCTGGCCTTACATTTTAAGTCCCTCAACGGGGCGGGAGCTGAGTGTCTAGGACTCACAGTACCTCACCAACAAGTCCTTGCTGTGTCACTGTGGTGGTGGACAAGTGTGGGGCCTGAGGGACATAACAAAACCAGGTCCGACTGTCCAAAACCCTCCACCGCACAATCCCTTCAGCCACTGGCTTCCTCTCTTACCTTGAGTCTTTACATATTCTTTGCTGCCCTCTGGAACACTCCTCTCATCAAGCTTACACCTCTATCCACCAATATTCTTTATTTTTGTTTAGTTTTTAGAATTTATGTGTATAGGTGTTTTGCCTGCATGTAAGTGCATCACATGCATGCAATGCCCTCAGAGGCCAGAAGAGAAGTTATATTCTATTCATTGGAACTGGTGTTAAGGATGGTTGTTAGCCACCACGTAGGCGCTAGGAATCAAACACAGGTCCTCTGCAAGAGCAGGAATTTCACATAACCTCTTAGCCATCTCTCCAGCCCCTTGTGTGTTTTTTTGTGGACACAGGGCCTCACTATGTACAGCCCTGGCTGGCCTCAAAGAGCCCCCTACCTCTCCCTCCAGACTTCTGGGAATCTCTCCTTTTACTGTTTGTTGTCATATAGGATTCAAAAGCCTATGACCCTGAGGTCAATTCTGGATCTCTCTTCTCTAGAGACAGGGTCTCCCTGGAGCCCCAGCTGGCCTGGACTGGAACTGGCTATGTTGACTTGGTTGGCCTTGATCTCACAGAGGATCCGCCTACGTCTGCTGCTCTGAACTATGTAGATCAGGCTGGCCTTGAACTCACAAGAGATTCACCTGCCTCTGCCTCCGAGTGCTGGGATTAAAGGTGTATGCCACCACGCCAGGCTGTACACTTTTAAGGCTCGTCTTAAACATGTGATCCTTCTGCCTCACCTCAAAAATGATGCTGGCATTACTGGCAACCTGGGCAGATTATATTTCTGATGCCACTTATGAAAAAAAGGCAGAGGGTTAAAAAAGGGTAAGGATTGGATGCATGGGGTTTTAAGAACATGCTTTGAATCCTGCATGGTGATGCACACTGTAATCCCAGCACTTGGGGCAGAGGGAAGAGGCAGGTGGATATCTGATCAAAGCCAGCCTGGTCTACAAAGCAAGTTCCAGGCTAGTTGAGGCTATAAAAGGAAAATGAAAAAGTATGCTTGGCCCCTCAACTTTACACAGACCTCCACCTTTGAAATCCTTAGAGTCCCTAGGCGCCCCACTGAAGAGGCCCCAAGGGTCCTGGAGAAGAGTCTTGGGATGTCTAGTCACATACTCTCAACTGAAAGCCTGAAACTAAGTGGGGCTTGGAGAGGTGCCTGACGGTTCAGGTGAAGACTGGGTTGCAAGAACTTGACATTCAGACCCCAGAAGCTCTCCAGATAGAGCAATTATGGGCTGTACTGGATGGTTTTGTGAAGAATGAGACTGGTATGATTACAGGGCAGTTCAGGAGTGATGGCAGGTGTACCCAAGATCACCCTATCCAGAACTCCTGTGTCCTCTCTTGGAGCCCACGGCTACCATTAACCAGAGACTAGTGGCTACCTGAGACCCCAGTATAGGGTTCAGGCTATCTGGCATTAAACATTACTATGTTCAGGCAATTATCTGCTGCCAGTAACTTAGGAGGAAATCAAAAGCTGGACCCAAGGATTGGGGCATCTGATGCCCAGGTTCCCCTTAAGCTGTATGGAGCCATGGGAAAACCTGTGTCAAATGTACTTTTGTGTAAAGGTGGCGGAGACCCACCCAGCACAAATCACAGAGTGACCTGGCTAAGTGTATTAGGAATATCCTTTTTTGAATGACTGCAAGGTGCTAGATGGTTGGGACACTGAGGACAAAGAAACTGGTGGCTGGAGGCAGGGCCTGGGATGGTAAGGCTTCTGCAGGTTAGGAGGGGGCCTGCATGCACCTAGAAAGAATGACAACAACATTGTATACAATAAACAAAAAGATCTGTATTAGAACATTTACACTCAGGGAAGAAAGAGGTATCGGCATCATCAAATGTTGGAATGTTGAAATAGTTAAAATAAATAGATTCTGAGCATGGCTGGGGTTGGCTCAGACTGAGGGTCACAGAGGCCACTGTCTTATCAGCTCCAGGCTGCAGGGCCACCACCTGGCCATACTGGCCTCCTCCCCAACACAGCACAGCTGTTGGGGGGCGGGCAGAGAGTCTCTCAGATACTGGAGTAGCCAACAAGCTCACTCTCCACTCTCCTCACTTATCTCTGTGACAATGTCTATCAGGCTCTGGAGCCCAAAGATATAGCCAGCATCTTGGCCCTCATGCACCACACTGTCCTCTCCATATAGCCTGCAGGTGGTGTGTGCAAAGTCGATCATGCGCACGTCCACTGAGCTGGTGCCAAGGGGCTTGTAGGCATAAGCACCAGCAGACTCATCAGCAGATTCTTCAGAAAGGTCCTCCAAGTCCTCAGCGTCTGAGTCCAGGGCCACGTCTGGCCATTCTTTGCCATCATAAATGACCAACAGGGAACTTGAATAGAAGCGGTAGGATTCCTGTCGCTCCAACACTGCCTTGAGCTCAGTTAGCTTCTTGAGTACAGGGCCCAGAAGTTCCCGGCGTAGGCACCGCCCATTGTGGAAGAACTGGAAAAGTGCCTCCTTGAAGCCCTGCACTGAAAGCTTCCGCCCATGGTATTTGTTCATGAACATGAGCTGCCCAGTGCCTGCCTGGTACACCTGTGAGAGAGACTGGCAAGTCAGGGTCTGAGGGTCACATCAGGACCTTGACTTTGGGTGAATGGGGGTGATATGGCTGTCTGGATGAGATTCTTTAACTTGTATATCAGTCACATAAGAGCAGTCTTCTTTGATCAGTACCTACCCAGAATGCTCTTATCACCTAGGTTCTGTCACTATACTCCAGCCCCCTATTCTGCACCTGGGTCAGTGGAGATGGCCTAACTTTGTGTCCTCTCCTGTCCATAAACCATACGGATTCAGCTAGCCAGGCCAGCCTCAGAGAGAGTATCTAGGCATTCATGCTTTGTTATTTAACCAGAAAGCAACAGATCAAGGGATTATTACTTTTTTATAGCGCTAGAGCTCAAAACCAGGGCCTCATGTATACAAAGTAAGCACTCTACACTCTCCAGCCCACTCAGATCTGATAGGTCTGTTGCTTTTGGCACTAAGGATCAAGCCCAAGGCCTAAAGCATGCTAGATGAGCCACTCTACCAACTGAGCTACATTCCCACCCAAAAAAGCTTTAAAAAAAAAAAAAAAAAAGAGCAGAGCAAATGCAGATTTTAAAGGGAAAGTGAGGAAAACTGAGTGAGAGAGGGGTTTTTTGTCTTTCTGAGACAAGGTCTCCCTGTAGCCCCAGTTGTTCTGGAACTATGTAGACCAGGCTGGCCTTGAACTCACAGAGTTCCACCTGCCTCTGCCTTCCAAGTACTGGGATTAAAGGCGTGCACCACCATGCCCAGCCTTGATTTTTTTTTTTTTTTTAAACTGAGTGGGAGAGTTTTTAAGGTTCCAAAGGAATATCCGAAATCTAGTTTCTAGAGCATTTCAGAGCACCCTGCCACAGTGGCAAAATAATAGCCACTGGATACCATCACAAGTCCATATCTGGCGCACTAACCCACTTCTCACCTGCATGCCACACACACGCACACCAATGACTGCAGACGTGCTCTGCTGACATTTTCGGATCTGGTTAGCTGCTTTCTCCTCTGAAGCATCATCACCATGCTGGCGTGTGCCCATTTTGAGGTCCAGGACACAAGGCACCTCGTAGCGGGAAGTCAGGTTCTCCAGTAAGATAAATTCTGAGTAGTTAATTAAGGACAGCACCCCAAAGAGAAAGCACCTGCACACAATGACCTAAAGAAGTCTAGGCCTACAGGAGACTTCATTAATTATGCTATCTTCCATGTAGAGAGCCCAGGGCTGACGAGAAAACTAAGAACAACTCTTACTTGACCTGTCAGGAAACTGGTCTAAGTACAACCAGTGTCTAGACTCAACACAGGCCTGGGAGACATGTACCATTTTCCTGAATTCACATAGATGTAGGATCAGAGTCCAACAGCACACTGTCCTCAAATACAAACATAATAGCAAAAAACGGTTAATAAATCCTGTAGCCTGAAATATGAACTATGAATGTCAGTATGAACTTATGTAAATATTTTCCCCTTTAAAATGTCTATTTCAGGGCTGGAGTTGGCTCAGCACTTAAGAGCATTGGCTGCTTTTGCAGAGGACTGGGGTTTGATTCCCAGCACTCACATGGCAGCTAACAACCACCCCAACTCCAGTTCCAAGGGATCTGCTCCCCTCTTCTGACCTCTGTGGGCACTGCACAACATGAGTGTACTTACATGCAGGTAATGCACTCATGCACATAAAATAAAAATAATGTGTTTTTTAAAAAATGTCTATTTCAGGCTTTAATCACAGCACTTGGGAAGCAGAAGCAGAGGCAAGTTTACATAGAGTGTTTCAGGACAGCTGGTGCTACATAGTGAGACCCTGTCTCAAACAAACAAATAAATATGTCTGTTTCCCAGCCAGGTCTAGAAACAATGGTCAGGATTAATGAGTATGCATAGTACG